AGACCTGGGATGCATTCTGCTACCGGGAGAAGGGTGAGTGGCACAAGCACATTTCCTGGAGCAGGGAACAGTCCAGCAAGCAGAGAACTACCCTCACTGCATGAGGCAGGTGGGCACATACCCCCTTTCCCCATGCCCGTGTCAGGAGCGAACGCGCTGAGGAGTATCCAGAAGCCAAAGGGCGAGGTGGTCACTGTAGCCAGTGTTGGTGCATAGAGTCACATCTCTGTGTTCCTTTGCAGATCTGACGTGCACCTGCCGTGATGGGTTCGTGGGAGATGGGTACTGGTGCAGCGGCAAACTCCCCGATGTGCTTGCAGACCACGATCGCTTCTCCACCTTCTATTCTGTAAGCGATGCTCTCCTGGTTCTTCGGTACGCTAGCAGCCGGCAACAAGGTGGAGGGAAGGGATGGGCTGTAAAACAGGGAGAAGTGGTGGTTTGGTCTGCATGTGGGGTAGAGGGTACAAACACGGAGGCATTTTCTTTCCTGGGCTGGGGAAAGTCACAGCATTGAGCTGCAGCAGTGTGCTGATGGGAAAGATCTTCCATCTTTTCCAGATGTTGCTCGATTTTGCCAATGACACAGAAGAAGGACTGGATTTTTTCATCTATTTGTCTGATGACTCCACTCCCAAAACTCTGTTTGTCCCTCTGAATTCGGGCTTCACAGACAATGAGGTAAGCAAGCAGGGATGCAGCCACTCGAGGGCGCATGGAACGAACTATGGGAGCCCCAGAGGAGAGCGGGAGCCCCCCAAAGCTGGTGTAATGGTGCTGTGAAACAGAGGCTGGGGAGTAAGGAGGAGGAATTTAGATCGGAGGAGACCACTGGAGGTCTCTTGTCCAACCCCTCCCTCAGAAAAGCCATTTAGGTCAGGTTGCTTAGAGCCTTCTCCAGTTGAGCTTTGACTGTTTCTAAGAATGGCAATCCTCCCTCCTCTGCAGAGGAGTTTTGTGCCATGTTGCCCATGAGTTGAGCTGTTTTGTGGCCATGGAGAGTGTCTGGGCTTTGGCCAGGTGGGGACTACACCCAGCGGGAGGGAAGGGGCAAGAGCCAGCTCAGCCATTTCTCATCCCTGTATTCTCTTGCTTTTTTTTCTCCAGACACTGACAGGAGAAGAACTGAAGCTCCATGTGTCATCCAGCAACGTCGTCCTTTTCAGCTTCAACCTCACAACGGGCACTGTCATCCCGTCCCAGTCAGGATATGACCTTCATGTATCAGACCTCCCAGTGGGCAACAGTTCAGAGCGCTCAGTAAGTTTAACCTCAGCAGAGGTCAAAAAAAAAACCCACAGGTTTTCACCACATCTCTTTGGAGACAGGGAACAACGGGGAGGCATTCTGGTCGGGTGACAGCGTCCCTGTCCTGTGCTTTAGGATGCCAAGGGGATCAATGACACGATGATTGTGGAGTGGGACATCATAGCTTTTAACGGCATCATTCATGC